CAGGACAAATCAAAATATCAAAAGATTGACTTGAGAATAAGATTGTTAAAGAAGCAAACGAAAAGCAAGATAATGAAAATACAAGGAAAATAAAGTAAAAGCAAAAAGTTTTAATCGATGATGAATTCAACTAATTCACTGGGAATGCAAGATATTTGGCAGTCCAGCCAAATGTAATCAGAAATAGAGATAGATTAAAGATTAACATGATGATGATGATGAACCCATCAAATGTTTATCCTTTTTATGCATTCAAAAGGAAGACTTGTATTCATTTCACAAGTTGCTCAGTCAAGCAAAGACTCGACTACATCATGTAACAGCATCAAGACATTATTGGAATCAAATGTTAAATTGAAGGCAAAAATGGAATCAAAAATTTCGACAAACATTGAACATTGACAGAATTCAGAAAACCATTTCTTCTTTTCTATTGAGTTTCATGTTTTCCAATTTTCGTCTCTTCTATTTACACCTCTTCTGAGCATGAATAACTTTTCGTTTCTCTCCAAATTCAGACTCATTCAGAACTGATCTATATCACACTTGATTCCTTACCATTTTCATCATCACCTATAACCTGACGTCGATAACAATTTTCAAAGATTCTGTCAGTTGCTCAGAATCTCAACTTGGATCAATGTTGTTCATTTTCTCATTACTTGAAAATTCTATTTCAAATTCTCTCTATCAATTGGTTCCTTTTATTCATCGAGTTCAACATCTTTGGCAGCAAGCCCGATCAATTGTGAACATGGAAAAGAGGCGAAAAAAGATTCATCAGTCAACGTTGAAAAGCATTGAATGTTGAGACAAAAAGAGAAAACAAAATTTCGATTGTATGTTGAGCATTTTCCTGTGGGCTGGATTGACACACACGCACAAGTGTTTGAACCAATAAATGTTAATCTTTTAATAATCAAAATGATTATCATCTGAAAAGGTGATAAGAAAAGAAGAAAAATCTCATTCTACCTTGAAGGTGATAATTGGATAAACCAATTGATAGATTGTAGGTTGAGATAATATCATGATGATAGGTTTGCTCAGGTTCAAATCACTTGTCAACCTTGTTGAGCTCAAACAACTCTATTCTCATTAAAAGCCAACAATAACCTACCTTGAACAGGTAAACTTCATTTTTTGTCATTTCCATTCAATTGCAATGAAAAGAAGAGAAGAGTAGAAAAAATAAAGTTTCAAATGAATAGATGAAACAAGTGTAACAGTGAAGATGGAAATGAAATGAATCAAAGTTCCTATCCTGGAGAAAGAAAGAAAACCAGAAAAATGTAATTGAGCGCCGAGTGAACCTCGCCCAGGTTAATTTGTTGATTATTTTCATTATTGTTATCAACTTATATTTGCTGATTGTCGTTGCGCTTGAAAAGAAAGCTTATTTCGTAGTCACCCGATGATCATCATTATCATTCAGGAAGGATCATTGATGAATAGATTTAACAAAAAAGAGAAACAAATTCTATGGTGTTTCCATTCTATAGGAAATCAGTGGATAGTAGCAAAGGGATGATGCTTTTTGTTCATCATCGTTGTCGTCACACGCCCATTGGAATCAAGGAATCCGTCAAACGTTACATTGAGGAAAAAGGAGGAGAGAAGAGTAAAAAATGGAAAAAAATGAATTGTTCAATGAAGATGAAGTTTATTCAATGTCATCCGATTTAAATTTACCATTTGACTGCACAATTGAACCGAAAAAAGGTATCTTCATATTCATCCGGCAATACTTGAAATAAAGGTAAATAGATAAATGATGTGGATATGCAATAACAAGAGAATGTTCAATTTCCTGACTCGAAATTTCTTTTCTCCAAATTTTTCCAATTTATCAAGAAAAGCAGCAAAAGGACCAAAAGATGAAAAGACTATCAAGTTGCTTTTGCATCTTTGCTCACTCTAAATTTTCCTCTCATTTTCACTTTTTCTCTATCATTCATGACCACATTCGTGCAATTTTCATCACAAAACTATTTCTCCTGCAAATGGAAGATGAAAGAAGAAGAAGCCAAAAAAACCAATGTCGCGGTCAATGTTTCGTAAAGGAAATACTCAAGTTAATGGCCTTCTTTTTTTCTTCTTCTTCTCTTGCCTTTGCTTTAAAATTCCCTCTCACTCCTTCTCATAAGGAACCAAAGGAGTTTTGATAATAACAAAATAATGATAATGATGATGGTCGGATAGATTTGCCTGAATGTTTGACTGCTGATAGTAAAGGATCAGAGTAACAGTTAGAGGAGAGCAACAGAAAGCTCTGAAAAAAACACTAAAAGCAACATATTTACTTTGCACATGATTGCTCATTTTTATCATAAAAGTTGAGTTATACACATTGCGGCTTGGATATGTAATGATGTACAATAATAGTTGCTCATTTATTTTTTTTTTGATACAAATTCTTTTCTCTCAATAATGATATTCATTTTTACAATAAACAGTCAATAACATGTACAATGTTTAATGTAATAATGATGATAATCGTCCAACCAATTGTTTATTCATCTTCATCTTTACCTCTCAATGGTTACTTCATCTTCAAGTTAATGCCTTGTAAGGAAGGAAGCATGAAAAAAGATTGGTGTTGGATAAAAAATTTTGATGGCAAAGGGTATGAATAAGGAATAATATCATTATTCAGATGATGAGGAAGAAGAAGAAAAAGAAGTTTAATATTTTTTTGACATTTTTTCTCATCTCGCCACAATTCGCATCCTTTTTGCTCCATTTATTAATGTCAATAGTAAATATGTTTTTCCCTTTGTGATTTCCTCCCTTCATTCAGATTTTCAGAATTTATGTAAAAATTTTCAATTCGATGAAAAAGATTTGCAATAAATTCGTCGAAAATGATTGTTCAAAACTGACATTATTGTAACAAAGATAAGCAACTGATTGAAAAGTGAGATTCACTGATCCTAATAAGCACTTTAAGTTAAATTTGATTGAAATGCTGATAATCATCGGGTTATTTTACATTATGGGGTTCATGTTGACTCACAATGATGACAACTTGACTGACCGATTTCATCCTTGAGATGAACAACATTTGAAACGGATATTTATTATCATTTCAACCCAATAACTTTGAACGACAAATCGATGGCGATACCAATCATGTTGTCATTTGCTTTCAGCTATTTTCCTTTCAATTTTTATCTAAATATATTAAGTTTAACAGATCAAGTGAAGAGAGTCTTTCAAGTCTTCTTCTTCAGTATCAAAATTCATGACAATCTTACCTATTTGACTTTTGGTTAACCCCACAAAATGCGTGAGTGTTGTTGCCAGTCTACCATCAACTCTACCCACTCTCAATGCTAATCCATCGATCAATTGGCTGAATCAACTGATTCCATCATCAATGTAACTCAATAAGATTAACCCTATTTGACAACTTCCGATAACTCTTTCACCTTGTTTCAAGCAAATCCACAATCTAGTCTAATCTAATAAAAATCACTATTCGCCATCACTAAACTTCAAACAATTAACCACAAAAATCTAATCGCTCCTCTTATCAACATTCACATCCATTACACTCTATTGGTTGTCATTTTAATCTAAAGAAGGACGACAAAATAAGGTGAAGAAGAAGCAAAAATAAGAAGAAGAAGTATCTTGATGATCATGATGACGACAGATGAATATATTTATACCTTTTTTGTATCATTTACAGTTTACCATTAAATTACATTTACACATTGATCATCTGATAGCTTGGAAAAGCTTAAAGTGTAAACACAGAAAATGTCAAAAGAGGTTTCTACAAAGTGTTGCTTGAAAAGTGCAAAAGTAACCAAAATAACGTTGTTTAACTGAGAAAAGGAACCAACAAATGGTTCATTTTTTTGTCTACTCAATGAAATTAAATGGAAATAGTAAACGAAAATAATGAATGAAAGAGATGATGAAGAAAGGGAAGAAGAAAAAAATTAACATGATAATGTGTAAGCAGAAAAAGTGGAAGATCAATGAACCAAATGGTGGAAAATTATCAACAGTTTATTAAAATAATGAGCTGTGAGTTGAACATTTGAAATGATTTGATATTGAAGAGAAGAAGAGAAAAGAGAGAAAAAAGCATTGCTAATCAACACGCCATTTTGACCAGAAAATAATCAATGTTGGTGCATTGATAAGTACGGTAAAAGGAGCAAGACAAAAGTTGAAAGACGAAAAGAGAGAGAAGAAGAAAGATGCAAGAAAAAATAAAGGGATAATCCTGAATAATACGATGATATATCATTGAGAAGTTTTATGAGCCGATTACTGGTGATAACAATTTTTCTCTTCTTCTTACCCAAGGTTTTTTTCTTGTGCACACAGTAAAGTATACAAAGCGCGAAGATGAAGAAAGAAGATGAAGAGAAGAAGAAAGAAAAATCTTTGACAAAAAGATATTGGTTCCTTTTTCGCTGGTCTTTTGCATTCTGATGAAATATGTGGGAATAGCGCAGTATATGCATACATATATATTTATATTTATTTAATTTGCAAAGGGACATTTGACTTGGTTCACTCAGTCAATCTAACTTTACGTAATAGGTTGTGATTTGAGGAAGAAGAAGAAGAAGAGAAGAAGAAGAGAAAGAGGAGAAAGAGGAGAAAGAGTGTCAAAAAAGAGGAGAAAATCAATTCTTCTTTGCATTTTCAATCGGCAAATAAATTGCCCATCGTTAACGAAACGACAGATAGACAAATGAAGAAAAGCAGGGAAGAGATTTTTCATCATTTCCAAGACAAAATAACAAAGTAAGAGAGAGAATCGAAATTTAAGAAGACAGAGAAGGTGAAGAAGATGAAAAGAGACAAAAAAAGACACTTTTTCTCTTTCAGCTTTTCTCTTCCTTTTCCTTGCCCTTTTTTTTGTGGGTCCACTTTTTTTCTTCACCTAACCTTTGCTCTTGATTATGATTTTTTTTCAAGTTGTTGGTGTTGTTATTAACAAGTAACATTAAAAGTTGAAAGTTTAAATTGCTTACCTTTACGGGGAACCAATGATTTGAGAAGATTGATACAATTCTCATCGGCTGCCCAGGCGTGCATCTTACGGTACGAGTCACGACCTTTTTCCGTTAATTTGTCCCACGGTTTGGGCTTGGAGAGAAGCTCTGAAACGGTTCCTTGGGATAGTCCTAAAACAAAACGGGCAAACAACCGTTGACCAATATTGTGTATTGATAAAAGTTCACGAACACAGCGAGAAATGTTTAAAGTGTTGAGCGATTCGTTCATAAATTTGTCCACATTTTGTCGTAAAGCTTCTTGCAGCTTTTGAAGTGACATTTCAAGAGATCGATGTTGACTTTCAAGGGAAACTAAATTTGTACCGCTTCCAATAATACCAAGAGTAGTGTTGTTTAATGAAGACAACGGATGATTGCCAGTTGATCGGCTATTGCTATCATTACCTGTACCAGAACCAGCAGTGTTGCCAGTTAAAATGATGCCCTCTAAAGGTGCGCTTCCATGATGGAAACCCAGTAAACCTGGATTGGTCAACAAGTCTCCATGGGCAGAGATGATGTTTGAGGTTAATGATGCGGTGGTTTTTAAAGGTCCAGAGGTTAGTGTGGTTGGCTTAGCATTTGCTGTTATTGGTGATAAGTTGTTGCAACTTGACGGAGAAACGGGATTCTCAGTTTCCTCGAGTTCTTCATCATTTCCTTCTGGTTTATCACTTTGCATAGTTTTGATTTTCTCGCGTAATCTTTGTATTTCTTCGACTAGTTTGGAGATCTGAAGCAGAGAAAAGAAAAAGATGAAAATGAGTTTTTCCATGAAATGTTATCCGTCAGCAACAAGAACAAATGTAAACACAGAATTTTTACTTTTTTTTTCTTTATCATTTTCTCCCTTTTTTGCCATCTTTCTTACGGGCAAATGAAATTACAAGTTGAAGAGTGAAAGAGAGAGAAGAAGATGAGAAAAAATGGAAAAGTAAACAAATGGTGAAAAAAAGAAGAAGAAAGCGTCTCAAAGTAACTATTCGTTGAAAGATGATGATAAACATTTTCTCTTCATGAATGAGCTCGTAAAGTAACTGAAAACAAGTTAACATTTATTATAATAATATTACTACTGAATATAGGTTCTTGTTGAGAGCTCAACATTTGAAACCAACAATAATAACACGTTGAGAGTACAAAAGTGATAGCGTGTTAAGAGTATTTAACAGAGTAAAAGATGAACCTTGTGTAACCCTAATGATGATAACAAAACTGACAGTTTAAAGGTAAATCAGAGAAGCAAGAGAGAGCATCATTAACATCATGATCAACATGATCAACATGAACATTATCGTAAAGATGGCTAAAGAGAGGAAAGCAAAAAAGTTGCATCATTAACATTTTAATCTTTAAATCGTTTAAATTAGGACAACGGACAGAATACAAAAAAAAGAGCCAAAAGTCAATCTGTTTAAGTCGATAAATGGTTAGATGGACCAAAAGGTCAATTTTATGTAAATCAGTGTGAGAAGAAGAAGAAGAAGAAGAGGGAAGAAAAGGTAATGATACTTTTGTGCCAAAGTGCCTACACTATGAAAACACGGTCAATTGTGTCCAAACTGAAGCAGAAAAAGTTACAATTGAAATTGAAAAGCATTTAAGGTTGACGGTTTTGCTTCTTCACAACATCTATAAATTTATAAATATCAACATAATGATGGACACAATATGTTATCATAAAATTAGCCTGGATTCAGTGACAAAAATGAAATAACAAAAATAATCAGACCGTCATTCATGTTGCTCAACACTTGAAAAGCTTTTCCACTGTTTATATCTTGTGCTGTTCAATGTGTGTTATGTTTGATTTATATGCCACCTTAACGCCAATTGTGGCTAATTGCCCGTCAAATGGTTTGGGTGAAAAATAAAAAGTATAACGAGTCTAAAACACAACCTTGATAATAAATAATAGTAATGTGATTATTATTATCAAATGGCCTTTCATATTGTTGTTTGGTTAAAGTTGATAAAGAGACTAATAATGACCATTTACCTTGAAATTAAAGTAGAAATGCGTTGACAAGGTCAGTTACAAGGGTATCTCAAACTTGGTCAGTCTTTGATTTTAATTAAGTTTTTTGTTTTTTGAAACATTAGCCATTACATTAGCCAAATGGAAAACGTCTCAATTTTTTGTCTTTTTGATGATCAACTTTTTTTGCTTTGCATTCCAATTTTGACTCTTTTTTAGATTAACCTTGTTAATTGATTGAAACTTTTTGCATCAATAGTTTAATAATGAGTGATAATGTAACGATTATTATCTGTATTATTGGTTGGAATGGTTTGAATTAAGAGGTTAAATGAAAAGTAAAGAACCTGAATTTTAATGCGATTGAAGTTAATGTTGGAATAAAAATAAAACCAAGAAAATTGAAAAGATTTTTTGATTCATTCCAAGTTTTGTAGCCGCAAGCCTTTTAAATTGAATAAACTGTTGTCCTGCCAACGCATCAACTATTAGTGGACAGTAAAACACAAATAGGAAGAAAAAGTTGAATCGAAAGAAGAAGAAGAAGAAAAAAGGTTAATTCTATTAACTGTTTACTTCTGTTGTATTTACTCTTATTAGCTGTTGTTGATGATAATGATGATGATTTTTCATGGTTTTAATTCATAATTATTGAAAGATTTATCATGAAAGTAGAAGAAGAAGAAGAAGAAAGCTGCAAAAAATGGATCACATTCCAAATGAAAATCTATCAACATGTAATGGAAACTTTTTTCTTCTTCTTAAAAACTTCTTATTCTCATCTTTCACAGCATCAATAAGCATCTAACTTAACCCCAAGTCCGGTTGATCAGGTTTACCTCAACACACACACACACCAACATTTATTTATTTATTCACTTTAATTGATTATAATCAGGTAAAATGAGCAAAGTTAAGCAAAACTGAAGATGAAGATAAAGATTGAAACTAAAGCTAATAAAACATTATCGAGACTAACTGTCAGTCCAAATAATCAGAGTAATCATTAAATTGGATAATTTCTTAATAGCCAATTCAAGGCTAATAATGGCTAACAAAAGCTCTCATCATTAAAATAATTACAATAGAAAAATGTTCAATGGAATAATTTCAATTGCAAACTAATTTCAATGATGAAATGATTATCATTAACGATAATGAGAATTGAGTTGATTGTCGAGTTAAATGATGCAAAGCGTAAAAAAATCAACTTCTACTTTTGTGGGTAAAAGGCGAAAAGAAGCAAAACCTGGACATTGAATGGACACACTTATTGTTAATTGTTCAATTATGAATTGATTAAGACCTTTTATAGACTTGAATTGCTTCAACTTATCAGCTATTTTTTATAACAATAATAAAAGTTGCATTGAATGTTTGACAAAAAAAAGGACGAGAAAAAGATTGTTCAGATTTACAATAATATTATCAACGATAACAATAATGAAAAATTATGATAAATGGATTATTTTGACATTTACATATGAATGGAGGTAAGTTGAACTAAGACATTTATCATAACCTGTCAATGGTTTTACCTTTAAAGGTTTCACTTCTCCTTCAAATTATCAACTTATAAAGTTATCATTTATGAAATATTAACATTGAAAGGTAAATAATATTTTTTGTTGTTACCAATGTTGTGGTTACTGTAAGTAAATTATCATTGGTTCATTTGATTTTCGAGTTGTGATCAGAGTTTAGTTTTTTCTTGTTGTTGACTTGAACTTGAATGATGATAATTTTGCGATTTTGGTTGTAATTATTAATTTTTGGACTTTTATTGCTGACTTGGAATAAACTCAATATGACAAAATTTGACCTCAATTTGTGTCTTTTAATTAGCTGATAGTTGAAGTTGACTAGACTATTGTAATTATGATAGTTGAGTAATGAGTATTTTATCGTGTTAGATGAAAAGGGTTATATGTTCTGATTGAACGTTATGTCATGAAATGTTGGGATTGCTAAGATGATTGTGATTAATTGGTAAATGGCGAAGAGGAAAATGTTGTAAAGTTTAACTCAGTTTTGACTCAACAATGGAAACTTTATTATTCATTCTGACGAAATCTGTTTAATCATGCAAAATGATTCAATCAAATGTCAATATTTGTCGAAAAATTGTGAGAAAATGGGTAAAATGGAGAAAATTATTAAAAGAAAAAAAAAGTTCATTCCAATTTTGTGTATTTTCCCTGATTCATGAAAGAAAAGTTTGAAAGTGAAAAAAGTTTCAAATTTTTCATTTTCAAAGGTTTTTCTTTTTGGAGAGAAAAAAAAATCTTCTATTTACCTCTTTCTCTTTTTGTGCGAGAATGTTATCGGTGGAAGGCGATTTTAATTGATTTGATGTTGGTGATGAAGAGGATGAGGATGAAGAGGAAGATGATGATGATGAGCATAAAGTTTGATTAGATGTTGGTGATGATAATGATGCCAATTTGGGCGATGCTGTTGAAGCTGTTGGCGGTGAGGCTGCTTGGCTTGATGAGGCTTCCATGATTGTTTCACCTTTCAATGACGAGTAATGTCGAGGTTGGTAAAGTTGATTTTTACGTTTAAAATGAGTCTGTTTTACGTTACTTTTGACGTTACAGTCAATTGAAAGATCTTTACTTCGAGCCAGAGTTGCAAACAGTTACTCGAGCTCGAGAAGAAGACGAAAAAAGAAAATAAAATTGCAAAAGATTCTCTCGAAACTTGGTCCAAAACAGCGTTCAGTTGAATATGTTAAGTTAATGTTAGTTAAATGTTGACTTGAAAAATCACAAGTTGATATTTGTTGTTGTATTATCAATATTTATCAATAATATAAAATAACTAGTTGTTGTTACATTTATATCACCCAGTAATGAGATAATGGCTCATGTTGATAGATTGTGCAGAAATGTTTCGTCTTTTGTTTCCTCTCATCAATATGATTTTCTTCCTTCGAATTATCACTTGATTTTTCTCTTGCAATCATCCAAATTGATGATGATCATAATTAAACAATTATTACGCTTATTAATAACATGATTGCTTTTTGTTGCTCACTTTTTTTCTTGTACCAAAAGATTACAAAAGATCACTTTGCTACCTGAGAAGAGATAGAGAAAGGTAAGTATTCAATTGGCAAACAAACAGTTAAGGTGAATAACAATAAATGTTGGAAAAAGATGGAAACAAAATCGTCAATTTATCGACAACTGTTTTTATCCTAATTATTAACATTAATAACTGTGAAAATGAATAATAATAAAAGGTGAATAATGATTATTGCTTTGTTACTGTTTGCTTATTGCTATTAAATATTATTACAATATTGCTATTAATGTTGAGATAAAGTTATGATGAAGATTCAAGTCTAATGGTAAATGGTAATCATGTAAATGGAAATAATTAAATAGTAATAAAAATTTTGTGTCAAGACAAAGTTGATCAAAGAGACTGTTTGATAATCATGGAAATGGTTATCATTTTGTATCATTAAATTGTAATTATTGCAATCAGATTCTCACCAATTGGTTTACTTGATTTTTCTCCATTTTCTCAGCTTTTCCCTGTAATTATCAACTTTATGAGCTTTAACAAGCTAATAAATGTCATCAAATCAACATCAGTCAAAAAAAGAGAGAGATGTTGGTTAATTGTCAAGTGATAGTCCACATGAGCTTGTTCAATAAACACTGAAACACTGGGAAAACATGGGAACACAGAGAGACATTGAAAGTACACAATGTTGATCAATTAACAAACAACAGTTGATGAAGTAAAGTGTAGAAACAATGATGAAGAGTAATGAATGAAATATACACACACACTGAAGATAATAATTTAATGATGAGATGATAATCTAATGATGAACGCAAAAAGATATTTCAATTGATTCTTAAAAAGGATGACTTTTTTGGTTAAATTGTGTTGAGTTGTAAAAGAGAGATTGGAAAATAAAAAGTTGAAAAAAAAACATTAAAATTGGCAAATGTTACATTTAGTTGAGTCCTTTTGCGCTGGTTTGTAAGTTTACAAAAAAAATGGTTCAACAAGCAAAATACGTTAATATCAATTGATGTGAACTCAGTTAGAGTTGAAGTTACACTGAAAGATACTTTTCAAATGTTCAACTTGCTCAACAAAACCAGTTCTGTTGAACGCCATCTATTGTTGGATGGAAAAGTAAATGAACCTATAACTTCTTTTTTCAGCCTTTTTCATCATTTCATCTTCTTTCATCTTCTTTTCATCTTCTTCATTCAAAGACTTTCAACGCATCATCATCATCTTCTTGCCCAGTTTTTTGCTCTCAGAGTTTTTCTTGTTCTCTCTCTTTAACTGTTAAAGATTATCTTTCATTGAAACCTTTAATCTGATTATCATTATCATTGTAATTACAATTGTTAACACTTTGTTGATGTTGATGTTGATTTGGTCAACGTTTGTTCATCTTTTGTTGATTGATTGATTGAGCCAATTTAATCAATCAATTTCTCGACTGATTTGGTGGCAAATTGGTTGGTAAACAGAGAGAAAGAGATGAAGAGATGAAGAAGTGAAATTAAATTAAAGTTGATGTAAAGTAGGGAATTTAATTAACTTTGAAATCCCACGCATCGGTGATTATTCATCATTGGAAAATGATGATGATCATGATGATGATAGTGATCATTATCAAGGTAACACAAAAAGTATCTTATTTTGTTAGAAAAGACCAAGAAAATGGTAAAGACTTTTGTACCTTTAGGCTAAAGAGATTCAAGATGATGAGTAAGAAATGAATGCGTAAAAAGCAATAAGAATGAAAGAAGAGGGAGGAATGAAAGAGAGACGCCAAGAACCGATCAATTGACCTGGCCTGACTCTTCATCCGCCCTCTATCCTAGTGGACCCTCATCATTATCATCATCATCATTGAAACATCATTATCCTAAAGTCGTCTATTTTTTCTTGTCATTAACAGTGTCTCATCATTTCTGCCTTTTATCTCTCAATGGAGAGTGAAAAAAGGTAAGAAAATGATTTTTGAGAAAATCTTTTTTTTTCTTCTTCTTCTCACTTAAGATCAACTTGAAGATGATTATGTTGGTGGATGACGACTAAAGATACTAAAGAAATAAAAATAATCATGATTCTGATAATGATATTGATGATTGTTGCTTATGAAAATGATGAAAGTTTATTGGTTTATGTTTTTCAATTTTTGCAGCAATTCATGAAAGACTTCATTATTGTCATCATTAGCATTTTTCTTGCAACTTTTTTCTTTTATCTCTCATCCGAATTTGAAACATTTAAATACTTTGTTTATTGGCAAAATCAACAATCGTTTCAAATGATTTGCAGTTACAATCAGTTAATCGTCAAGACTGAATAGAATTATTTTCTCTCGCTTTTTTGCCATATAAAACGAATGAACGAATATCTAAATTGGAAACAATTATTTAACCATTAAAACTGAATGGTGAATAGAAATGTTTGGAAATAACTTTTTTTTCCTTTTCTTTTCCAATGATAATGGTTAATGATGATACTGATGATGAGAAATGATGAAAAATGATGAGAATCTTAATATCAAACGGTAGAGGGCGTTCAATTGTATTACATTATTGGGTGTGTTGAGTGGGTGTGGAACAATAAAATTTCAATTCCGCTTTCAATTCGCATTAAAACTTTTCTCTTCGCCATCGTTCGTTCTTACACATTGACTCAAGGTTAGGGGTAAATATCCTTAAGAGAGGAAAAATAGTCAATAAGAAAGAGATGAAGAAGAAATCACAGGTAAAGAATGATAATGAAATAAATATAATGATAATAATGGTAAATAGGAAAAGATTGGCTGTAATGATTGGTTCAGGGTTGATGATTATGAATAGATGAATGAGAATGAAAAGTGATCAAACCAATCATTCCGACTGTTTTGTCGTTGTTGTAGTTGAACAAGAAAAGGCAACATTGAATTGAATCTCCACCCGAACACAATTAACTAGCAACAATACTGAACCTCTCTCTCTGTATTGGTGATGAGAATGATGATGAGTCTAGATGATGACAGGAATGATGGAAATAAAAAACTAGGTAAAGCGGAAAAAGGCATCGCTTTTGATAATCATTCAGATTCACTTGTTGCCTTCATCAATGACAAAAGGAGTAAACCTTATTGAATAGATTCAGAGAAAAATGATGTTTTTTTTGTCAATTTTTCAATTTCAAGGTGTGGTTCAATCATTTTTGCAGTTTTGTCATTTTACCGCGATTCACTGACTTCGCTGTAAACGCTCAAATGATCAACAACAGTGTTGCCCAGTCGACACAAAAGAAGTTCAGAAAAGAGAGAATTATTTCATGAAAACTTTCTCTACATATTTGATTGAATAACGTAAGAGTTGCGAATCTATATAAAAATTTTAAATCAAAGTTGTTCTTCTTCCATGGTTGACCAATTTTACAATAATGATGATTTGTCTCATTTTCATGATAATAATGTGTAATAACCCCTGGAGGTTCAATTTGTTGAAACAAGACAAACGTCACCAAGAAAAGAGATCGCCTTTACATTGACCCAAGTCTTTATTATCAGCCATTATTATCTGACTTGGTGTGTGAGACAATCTCAGCCTTTTATTATTATTACTGTGATTATGATTATTATTATTCTTAACATCGTCTAGAATAGTAATTGGGAAGCAATGATGGTAAAGAGTTTGGAGACAAAAATCAAGGTAAACTGCGTTTTTACTGGTGATGAAAATGACCTGACTTTTGATGGACTTGGAGGAGGAAGAGAAGGCAACTGATGATGATGATGAAGGAAATCATATACATAGATACATAAAAAGATTATGAAGAGCAATCTTGGTCATTTTCTTGTTCTGCTTGGTTGACCATCGTCTCTTTAAGAAGATCAAACGATTGGGAGAGAAGGGCAAAGGAGTCTATTGAGAGAGACAGAGAGAGTTAATATTCATCATTAAATGTGGACAGTTTGCCTTCTCTCATCTCTTTTCCCTGCAAGAAATGATGATCATCTTCTAATAACAAGAATGAGAGCGAAGATGAAGAGAGAAGAGAGTTGAGATTGGTTATGCAACGATGGCTCGTCTAATGATGAGGACCCAAATTATATAAGAATAATCATAATAGTTGAAAAGATTTTTTAAGAACCAAGAAGACCACTGATAAGCATTATCACTTTACTTCATTGTTATTCGTTTCATTTTTTTCTTCTTCTCTTGATTCACAAAATTATTACTATTATTATTATCCTTAAAGGTCACCCAACTTTACTACTGTGCTAAGTGTTTACAATTCAAAATCTCATGGTCTTTGGAATAACTAATTTCTTGAAACGCAAATTATTGTCCAAATGATAGTTTTACAAATAATTGTTTCAAATCTTGATTATCATTTCACCAAAAAATGAATCAACTTTTTTTGCCTCCTCTCAAAAGGCGGATCATTGTCAAATCTCACAATTTCATGAGAAACATCTTTTTAACCTTTTTATTGCATTTGTTATTGACAGAGAAAATGATTTTTATTTTGGAAATTTGAAATTCTGTTTTTGATTCTGTGTTTCTTTTGCTGCTATTGGTGATTAGCGTTAATTGTTGGGTCAATAAATTATGGGAAAAGACAAGCGAATCTAATTGCAATTGAATTGTGATAAAAAATCAAATTTGCAACTTTGTTTTCGCTATTGGAAAACTTGATTCTGATCTTGATCTTAATTTTAATCACAATTTAAGCTGATAACGTGATTTCAGGATAAAAGTGTTTTGCAAAACAATTGGCAATTGAGTTCAATAAATACTTTTTTATCCAATTTTTGGCTTTTCTGCTCTTGCCATGATGCTATCAATTGAAACAATTGGAAAAGTTGAACGGAAAAAAAGGTTAACCCTAAAGACTGGTTTTCATACTTTTACTGTTTAGCAACAATTAAAGGTGTGTAAACCTATGTGTTGATTAGTTGCTGTAAGGCTATTAAAAGTTATTGCTTTTTTATTGTGGTTTTCAGGGAAGAAAGTTAATCAATCGATTGTTTGATAAAATTAATTTCTATTCATGAGTTGATTGAGAAAATGGAAAAGTTGAATGAAATGCAAAAGTTTCATTGCAAGTTCAAGTTTCACTGTTGGTCGAGTTGAAGGTAAATTGCAAAACTGCAAAAAATTGACAGTTTTCATTCAATATTTGATTGGCAATTCTTGACCAAAACTCAGTGAACCTGCGAATAATAATTTTATTCAAAAATGATGAAAATAGTAGGAACACCGTGAGAGAGGGAAAGATGTATGAAATGGATGATAGCATGAGAACCTTTGAAACTTGAGTCAATCACAGTATCATAATCAGTATCATTATCAGTGTTATGTTTTTAATGAGAAGAAGAGGTTTTTAAGGGAGAAAAATGTTCACCTTTCGCGTTTCATTATTTACCTGACGATAATCAGTTGACCGAATCATTGAGAGAGAGAGAGAGAGAGAAATGATAAAAGTGTAAACATTGATTTATTATTGCTTTACTCACGATCTCACCGACTCTCCCACTACTCTCGGCTCTTTCTGGTGCTCTTTCAAACTTAATTCATTCATTAATTTACCAACAACCATGGTGGCTATGCAAAGTATAACGTGCATTAAATGGCCCTTTTTGTAGTTTCATTTTGTTCATCACATCATGATTGTGTGTGAGAATATCCTGTGTAAGATGAAGAGAAAAAAAGATGTAATTCTTTCTTCTTCTCTCCTCCTCCTCCTTACATTTACTGCTAAACGATTGTCATTAACTTTAATTATCGGCTCAGTTTTGATTAACCTTCAGCTTTCCAAACCTTTTACATGTTGATTGGTCCGTTTCATTATCAATTGTTTAAACTCGTTCGCCTTATGCAAACAACTTTTCTCACAACTTTGAGCCTTTCCAAGTAAATCAACTTGAAAATGTTTCATTTTTTCTCAGCATCGTCATGAGGGAAGAGGTAAGTCAAATGGACTTTACAGATGCACATTCAACAAGTGTTTAACCTTTTGTCAAATGTAAAGATAAACCAGTCAAAAGAATCAATTTTCATTACATGAACATGATAAGAGAAAACTGTAAAATTGT